ACCGTTTAAATAAGCAATTTCCATCAGAACCAATTATCTTCTCTTGCCATTTTTCTAAAGATGTTAACTCATTTTTATCAAAAAAGCAAGTGTTTTCATTGTATTATATACGATTATATAAATATCGTCTTTTGTTATTAACCCATCTCGTAACATTTGAATATTCTGTGAATTTCCTTCGATATTACAACATTCTTTATTTATCCAATCCTGAAGTTCGATTGCTCTAAATCGCAAGAGCTTCTATATACTAAGAGCATCAAGTCCTTCAAGAGCACGTTGCTGAACAAAATATCAGATGTTTTCAAAAAGAGGTAATATGCATAAATCTGACAACTTACCAGAATAATGGTTAATATGTTTGTAATAATGTTTTAGAACCACCATGGATGAATCAATAGGAAGTTTGATAAATATATAACTTTTGCAACTGCATTTTTTAGTTTTCTTTTGTGCCAATTGTGCCTTCTTATTTGGATTCTTTCTAGCAACACTTTTGTATGATCTATAATGATAACAATACTAACGTTCTGTCCATTAGTTTTTTTTTCTAGCACCACTCTGGCTCCGATGATCATGTTGATATAGCTAAGTCCTGCTTTTTCAAGGTCTTTGATTCATTTTATATATTCAGATACTGGAAGAAAATAAGTTTTTATTCTTTCAGTTTTTTTTGGCAACGTATTATCATCATTGACCCTTCTCACATATGTTCAACACCATCTGTCGCATCCAGGATGCAGTCTATATCACTATTGCTTATATTCATATTGACATCCTTACCTTCTTCATCAATGTCGAAAATTTCATTGATATCAGGAAGTATTGACATAGTAAATGGAAATTTTTAGCAGAGTAAGTAAACATAAAGATATTGTTTCAAAATTACGTGATATACCGTTAACGAAAAAAAATGTTTCTACAAAAAAAAAAAGATTTTAAAATCAAGATTCATAAATATTTTTAGAAAAGAACTGTAAAAATCTAACAATATTATTATTTATTAAAAATTTAAAATGATAAAACATATGAAAAAGCCATTACGCGCTTTTATTAAAAATTTCAAATTTTCAAATTTTGACAAATTTCGATATCATTCTTGTGGTTAAAAAAAGAATTTCATGAATGATTTAAAAAAAAATTTCTTGAGGAAAAAGGGTTTTATTTAAGAAAAATTTAAGTTATTTTTACTTTTTTTGCTTTATTTTGCTTAATGAGTCAATCAATCAATCAATCACTAGTATAAAATTATTGATCAATGATGTGACACTCTACGAGACAGACAGAATATTTGATGACCTGGATTATTTAATGATTTTAAAGGTCGTATTTTAGACATTTTATCAGGTATCAATGTCACGTGATAAAAAAAACCAATCGTAGATCAGAATAATGGTATTCAATCAAAACTTGGGGAGAAATTAGTAAACCCGTAAGGGAGGGCCAGAAATGACGTCATTTAATAATGGAGGGGGCTACTACAAGATGACATAACACAAAATCAATTTCCATTTTAAGATTTTTAGAAGTTCTGCAACAAAATGACGTGACATAAATTAAATATTCCATTTTAAGTTAATTAAGTGATACAATTTTGAAATTTAGTGTTACAATATCAATAATATTAATGTAAATGTATGTGTTCTATTGATATGAAAGATAAGAAAAGAATTTTTTTTTAAATGGAAATTTTTTTTTTCTTAAAAAAAAATTGAAAAAAAAACTGAAAAATGTAGAAATTTACGTGAACGATAATTACACAGTTGCTCTTTTTTTCCTTTTGTTAGATTGATATTTTATAATGAAATAAACATACTTTAGGCAACCGAAATACTTCAAAAATTATATTATCCAAAAATCAAGAAATCTTTATGAGGAGTTTGTGAATGCTTTGCATTCTATGAAATAGTAATTACCAATAATGAAAGATCAAGTAAAAAAGAACTTCAGGAACGAGCCCAAAATAGCTGATGAGAAATAAAAATGAAAAATAAAGACTTTATCTAAAATCATATTTTCGAATTATTATAAACACCTATTCCTTCTTCCTTAAATTTTTTTTCACAATAAAAGTCTGCAAAAAATCCTCCAAAGCCATTTTCAGAACCTCCAAAACCTTCAGAACCCAAACCCGAACCTCTAAAATCTCTAGAACCTCTTTCTATGCCCACTTTTTACAAAATGCAACGATACAAAAACAGTTGCATGAAAATCTTCAAAAAAACAAAACCGATTTATATAAATACAACAACTTACTAAGAGCTGCTACATCATCAGAACTTCATTCGTAATTCACCTCAAAAATTAAAAAGCTTGAGAATACAGTTGTATTGGAAGAAAAGAAACTCAAGAAACTAAAGGGTAACGCAGAAGCTAAACAACGAGCTCGAAATAAAAAACAAGAAAAATTGGAAAAAAAAAATATTGTCGAAATGTATGATGCACTGGGTCATCTATCATTTTTGTTGAATGATCCTGAACTTTTAAATAAAATGCATGATAGTATCAAGTTTAGCGTTATAAACCACAAAAGGTGAAAGGAAACAATTAAAATACGGACCGTTAAACACCTTTGTGAGGAAATGGAAGAGAATTACAATATTTATATGGTAAAGTTCATATTGCAAAACTATATACAACCCAGACATCCAGCAAAAAAAGAGGTCCAAAGACATCATCATCTCGCACAAATCCATTTAACAGCTGTTGGAAAAAATGAAATAAGTAGTTATATAGATGAGCATTACTGCTTGGCTTCAGTCAAAAGCATAAAATCATTCGCATCAGCTTTTCCTAAGGATGTTGTATTAATTTCACAAGATGACAAAGTAAAGGTACTTATTTGCAACCTTTTTTTTAATATTATATTTCAAATGTTTAATTCTTAAAGTTCTGTAGGTTCTTATTGGTGTAGCTGCAGTCAGAAGAATATTTAAGGCTGTTCAAATAGCAAGTGAACCAGTATCTGTCCCTAATCATAATTTTCCTAAAGCTCTAAAGTATAAGCTAATTCCATCCGTCTACTTAATGATCGATCCTTCTGATACAACTTCATTACGCTACAGAAAGATACGAATTTTTGTCTGTCTAGAGTATTTTTTGGGTACAAATTGTGAAACACATATGGTTGATCTTATGTCAATTACAAAGGAAGAGTCTTTTAACGAATTTACACATTATGAAGGTTCTGTAAAACCTTTTTAGTGTTTGTTAACAGATGATGGTCCAGACAAAAATCCACGATTCCTTACTAATATTTCAAAATATTATTACTTTTCAAAAAACTTGACCTAAATTATCTTACTGTTCAAACACACGCACTAGAGCAGTCTGCTTATAATCCAGTGGAGCGAAGCATGGCATTACTTTCTAGTAAATTGGCTGGTATTGAACTAAATGCATTTACATATGGGAAACATCTCAGAAGTGTTAGTAAAAAAGTTGCTATTATGAATGAAGATCTTAGACGTCATAACTTTAAACATGCAGGAGAGCGTTTATGTGAACTTTAGGGGTGTGATAATATCAATGGTCATCCAGTTATTATCACATATATTGAGAAGCATAATCAATTGGATTTTTTAAATATAAACGAAGAATCATGGGATTGAATTAATAGACATAGTCAAATTTGCAAGTATTCTTTTGACTTAAGAAAGTGTAAGGATCGAAATTATTACAGGCAACTATGTGCATCCGAAATTTATAATCTTTTATCCAGAAACAATATTTTTTACCACCTATCATACAAGGCCTTAATGATCATTTTCTAAATCTAATTCATACTTTGGAATATTTTGAAAAGAAGTTATTAGACTATGATAAACATTATCCTAGCGTAACTTCAGATTTATATCACAATCTTGTATGTCAAAAATGCTTTAAATATTTTTCATCAAAAGTGTTTTTGCAGCAGCATACTAAAACAACTCATCCAAAAAAAAAATGAAAGTGAGAATTAATGATAAAAAATCTGAAAATTTATCACAAAAGATGAACGCAATGGTCATATGAAGAATATATATACGAAGGAAAATAAAAATGACAATTCACAGAATCAACAGGAAAAGGCAGTAAAGAAAAGTAAAAGCAAAGTAAAGAGTTTGTAACAGCAAAACTCAATAGCAAAACCATGGAAGCAAAGTCATCTTACATTTAATATTAATTATTTTTAATTGTAATATTTTATTTTATTTTTTTTAAGAATAATATAGCAACTTTAATTAATCGTTCTATTTTTTACTGTTATATTTTTTTTTTTCTCACCAAGTTTAAAAGTTTATTTTTATTAAATTTTTACACTAAATTTAAACTAAGATTTTTTTTACTGTTCTATTTTTTTTTTCTTACTAAAGTTTAAAAGTTTATTTTATTAAAAACTTTTTTTTACCAAATTTAAAGACCGTCACGTGATTTTTTGATTTTCCTTAAATGGAAATAATGAAAGAGGGGGAGGATTCAAAATCCCAAAAATTAAAATGACGTCATTTCTGGCCCTCCCCTAAACTTGGTATAATTTATTATAAATAAATTAATCAATAAAGCCTTGAATCCGGCTCTCATCTAACTTTTCTTTAAAGCAGGGAGATCTCCAGATCTTTTTTTTTTTTTACCCAAATGAAATAAGTTTCTTTAAATCAATAGTAATCGAATGTTACATATAAAAAAAATCAACATTTGATTTTATCACCTCATGATAAAAACGAGTTTCCATTATGCGCATTATTCTATTATCGCGTCAAATCAATTTAACTTTCATAAAATAAATTTTTTTTTTAATCGTATATAAATAGGTTTTGTAGTTAATTAACCAGACTAGGTTAATCCCTATCGATAGGTTACACGTGTTTATAACCGATTATCAAAAAAGTCTCTTTTGGACACAATTACAATTTTTTGTTTTTATTTCCCATTACGAGCGCTTTCTGAATCAATATAAATATAAGTCACTCAAAGTACCTTTCTAATATTTACTAAAGGTGCAAGTAAACTTATTTAAAATGACTAACGCTCCTAGTACAATAAATATTGACGAACTTTTCAACGTTAGTTCAGATAATGAGAATGATAATTCGGAATTACAAAATGGCGAAAGCAAGAAGAAAACCAAATTAAGCGAAGTTAATGTTCCGACTACTCCGGAGATTGTGAACCAGACATTAACTGCTCGTAAATATCAAATTGAGCTGTACGAAAAAGCTAAGAATGATAATGTAATAGCAGTTTTGGATACTGGAAGCGGAAAAACTTTCATTGCTGTAATGTTAATAAAAGAAATTGCAACAAATGAGCGGGAGCTTAGGATGACTAGACGAGAGGTATTTATCATCTATTTATTAAACTGTTATTGGTATCTTGGCATATTATCTTTCCTTTAATGATCACATACTATATTTTCAGACCAAACTCACATTCTTTCTGGTAAATCTCGTACCTCTGGTTTTTCAACAAGCCAGCGTGATCAATGCAAATTGCGATTTAAAAGTTAAGCACTTTTGTGGAGAAATGGGTGTCGATTTATGGAGTGAAAAACAATGGCGAAATTATTTTGAAAATTTTGATGTATTAGTTATGACTGCACAAATTTTTTTAAATATTCTACGTCACGGATTCATTTCCCTGACACAGGTAAATATTTCGAGTCTTAAGTGATTATCGTTCGTATATTTTGATGGATAAAAGGATTCTCATTGTAATCAAATTATTTATTTAATGAATGTCGAAGGTTAATCTATTAGTTTTTGATGAATGCCATCACGCTTCGAAAAAACATCCATATAACTTAATTATGAGAGAGTTTTATGATCGATGTCCTGAAGAACAAAGGCCAAAAATATTCGGTATGACGGCATCTCCTGTAAATACCCGTAGTACTCTTCATTCTGCCAGGTATCATAATTCCTTGCATTTCGTCTAATAAATTCTCTTAACTGTGTTTGTTAATGATTTCATTGATTATTACTTAAATAGTAGTCACCTTGAGCATAATCTAAATGCTAAAGTATTCACGGCTAGTGATACTGATGAACTTCGTAGATTTATCAATCGTCCTGAGGAGATAGCAATAAGATATGACCCTCCACCAGAATACGAAGAAACTGTACTTTACAAGTCACTTTGGAAAGAATGTCTTGGTGCAGAGAAATTTCAAAGAGCGTTTGGAAGTGCTGTACAAGCTCTCCAAGTTCTTGGCCCTTGGTGTTCGGATCAGGTCTGGAAATATATATTGGATGAATTAAATGAAAATAAATGTGATGCAAAGTTATTAGCTCCAGAGTTGATTAATAATGTGGATTTACAAGAAGAACAACGTCTAATGCAAAAGGTGTTAGATATTGTCCGCGATTGGTCTTTTCCACCCCCTATATGCGATCCTAATATTCTATCCCCAAAAGTCATAAAATTGATAAAAGTTTTGGATTGTTTTCAAAAACAGTCTGATGAATTTTGTGGCATAGTATTTGTTGAACGTCGTCATACTGCTAATGTGTTGCATTATTTATTGGAAGAAATTGGTACTTTAGATTTTATAAAATCTGATGTCTTGGTTGGGCATGGTTCTAGTGAAGAAGGAGACTTGCAAATGAAATTCAAGAAACAGAACAAAACTATTAACTCGTTTCGCGATGGAAAAATCAATTTATTAATTGCCACTAATGTAGCAGAAGAAGGTTTAGATATCCAACCCTGCAATGTCGTTATTAGGTATAAAAATTTTTTTATTTTAAAAATGTTTTAACATATTCAATTAATAAATAATTTATTTAAAACAAATATTAGGTTTGACTTCTTTAATACATTGAGAGCTTATATTCAATCTCGAGGCAGGGCTCGCCGTAAAGATTCAAAGTATATTGTAATGGTAGAAAGTGGAAATCTTAAGGAACATGGTTTACTCAGGGAAATGCGAAAAGCTGAGAGCGATATGAAGGCTTGGTGCCAGATGCTTCCTGAGGATCGCAAATCACAGATGGCTGATATCATAGATGATTCTGATGACGACGACGATGATGAAGGACATTATTATCTCATTCCGTCAACTGGGGCATTATTGAGTTATGAATCAGCTGTTTCGTTAATCGGTTATTATTGTTCAAGGCTTCCTGCAGACAGTTATTGTATGTTGCAACCGGATTTTACTTTTACAAAAGAATACGTTGGATATACTTGTAATCTTAAATTACCAAATAATGCACCAATTCGTGAAGTTATTAGTGAAGTTTGTAGTAGTAGAAGTAAAGCAAAAAAAGCTGCCGCGTTTAAAGCTTGTCTACAATTATACGAAAAAAAGGCATTAGATGATCATCTATTACCAGAAGAAGTATGGATCGAAGAAGATCATGAAATGACAAAACCGTCTAAGGATGAACATGGTTTGGTTGAAGGAGCAAAAAAATCTAAGAGAGAGTATCTCTTGAAATCTCCAGACTTATGGACTATTGAAGAAGATCAGCCCAAAATTCCAGAAGAACTTTATGGCACTATTCTAAAGTTAGACATGGAAGATGAAAAGTATGACGGATACTCATATCGCACCCTATGTTTATTAACACGTAAACGATTTCCGGAAACTCCACCAATTACGTTATATTTCCACGGAATTAATAAAGTACTTAATTTGTTTCCTTATTCGAAACCAATTAAAGTCAGTCTTGAAAACAAGGAAATAGCTTTTAAATTTACTTTGCGCACATTTACCTCCATAGTCAACAAAGAGTTTATTTGCGAATTCGAAAATTTCCCATACCTTGTCGTACCACTTGTTAGAAATACGCCTATAAACGAACAAACACTTGATTTCATTGATTGGGAAAGTATGGAAATAGCTGTTAACGAAAAACATGCACCTATTGACCTTAATAAAGTATCTGACATGGAGGATGCTGTAATAATCGATTATTCCGACAACTTACGGCGCTATTTTGTTCAATCTATTCGACATGACCTTTCTCCACTGTCCCCTATTCCGGAGGGAATGGTTTTACGTGAAGTTGGTTGTAAAAATTTTGCAGAATATTATAAAAAGTCATTTGACTTAGATATGAAACATCCGGAACAACCCTTATTTCAAGTTCGTAAAATTTCAAAGGTTATGAATTTTTTACAACCCGTACCTGGAGCAATACCAACATTAAAAGGTAGAACAGCCACCTTTGTGATTCCGGAATTTTGTAAAGAATATACAATTACTGCTTCCATCTTTAGATCCGCCCTTATGTTACCTGCTATCCTCACTAGAATTAATTCTCAACTTTTAGCATTAGAATTAAGATTAAAAATGGATTTGCCTATTAGAGATGACTTATTATTAGTGGCATTAACGACTCCATCCGCTAACATGGAAATGAATTACGAACGTCTCGAAACGTTAGGTGACTCATTCTTAAAATTTTGTGTGACGATAAGGTTGTATGTCATGTTTCCTGATAAACATGAAGGTCAACTTCATTGCCAACGTATTAGAATTATTTGTAACAAGCAGCTTTATCGAAGTGCAAAGAAACTGCATATCTACGAATACATAACGTCACTCCCATTCAATCGCAGAGCTTGGAGACCAACCAACATGATTACCACAGTTGATGAACCTGAGATGTTGGAGCAGTTAAAGAAACATGGTTTAGCTGACAAAACCCTTGCTGATGTTATAGAAGCAATGTTAGGTGCCGCTTATTTGAGTGGTAATGTGGATGCTGCTCTAAAATGTGCTGCGGCTGTGGAAGTTCCATTCGATGATATTACAGAATGGGATCATTTTCATCAAAAGAATAAAAACCCTCCACGCGTTAATCAAAAAGCTCTTAAGTGTGTGGACGTTGAAAAAGTTGAAAAGATTTGTGAACATACATTTAAAAATAAAATTTTAATTGTAGAAGCACTCACTCACGCTAGTTTACCCAACTCTTCAACTTCATGTTATCAACGTCTTGAATTTTTAGGTGATGCTATATTGGATTTCATGACGGTCAAATATTTATTTGAAAAATATCCTAATGGGACACCAGGAATGATCACAGATCTAAAAGATGCATCTGTTAATAATCAGTTCCTTGGAGCTGTTTGTGAAGTAATAGGACTTCAAAGACATATTATTCATTTCTCGCCAAAGTTGATGGCAGGCATGACCGATTTTGTAAATATTGTAGATGGAATGCGAAATAAGGGTGAAGCTGTTGGAGAATATTGGAGCGACTTGGACGTCCCAAAGGTTATGAGTGACGTTGTTGAAAGTATGTTGGGAGCTGTTTTCGTGGATTCAGAGTTTGATCCAGCTGCGCCGCAGAGATTATTTGATATTTGGATAAAACCCATTTTAGATGTACACGTTACTCCTGAAACGTTGAAAGTTCATCCGGTGAAGAAATTAACAGAATATATGCAAAAAATAGGATGCACCAGTTTGTTGTTGAGGTATGAGGGGGTTTTTTTTTTGCTTGTTCGATTTATCTTTCTTTACTTATTAATTCATTTTAAATAACAGAAATCATACTTCTGAAGAAAAAGAGACAGAATCTCAACGTTGTACTATCTTTATTCATGATTCGCCAGTATCACATGGGAAGTCAAATAATATTCGTGCAGCAAGAAAGATAGCAGCTCAAGCGGTTTATGATAAAATCGAAAATGAACCAGGATACCTTGAAAGTGTATGCTCGTGTTCAGCTCTTCCTAAAGATGATAAATTACTTAATGAAGATGACGATGATGAAGAATTGTTGGATTAATTACATAGATAAGAGTTGTGGCAATTATTTTTATAGAACATCAAATGTATAATATAATTTATTAAAAAAAAAACAAAAAAAAATACATTTCATATACATGCAAATACTTTTAATGAGTAAGAAAATTTTTCAGAATTTAATAAGTATTCAATATCTGCATATAAGAGAATAAGAAATAGAAGAATTAATGAATAATAATCTTATTAAATGCATAAATTACAATTAATAAATGTTTTTTGGTAACGGGACCAAAAGTCTACAGATTTCATACAAAACGACCTGGTACAAGAGCCAACATTTTTATTTTACCCAATAATTAATTGCGAATAATTTCGTGAAAAGGCGAAAAGACTCGAGAATCGATTGGGATTATATTATATGTTATACTTACTAATCTTCAATGTTTACAGCAAAATCCATAATACGGAACATCCAAAGAAAACTTGAGGTAAAATTTATTATAATATGAAATATATTATATTAATAGATGCATTATTAAATGTTTGCTCTTTCTAAAAGAATTAACATCACCTAAGTACCGTCTTTAAGTGCCATAATTTTAAAAGGAAAATTTCATAATTAACCTTCAAAATCGTACACATTCGACGAATTCCATTTCCAATGTTTTTTTAAAAAAAAAAAAAAAATCTTCCAAAAGGAACTTAACCCTATTGTTTTAATTATGTTTGTAATTGTAAGTTGACGAAGTCAAATGGTTAGTTGCCATGAAAGAGAATTTTAGGATGATTTGAAAGAAAGCTCGGCATATATAATTATGCAAGATTTGTTTCTTATGGTTTTTTTTTATTACATTTTTTTTTTTTTTTTTCCTCAGAGAATTTTTAATAAATTTAATTCATTACCGCCGCAAATTTTTTTTATGGATTGCGACCATCTAAAATAAAAATAAAATTTTTTTGGTTTTTTTTCTTAATTGAATCTTTGAAGCGAAAGTCGTTCGTTTCGTTTGTCAGTTATCAGAATAATTTCGGAATCGTCCGTTTCTATGTTTAAATAAAATAAAGATAAAGGGTCTGGTGTGAGTAACTTCCGTGGTTAACTACTCCTAAGGAAGAACAGCCAGTACCAATGGGACCACTAATTTAGGTTCTGGATTTTTAGAATATTACTCAGTAAGCGCCGCCAAAGTACATCAGCAGCACATCAGCGAGGGATTAAGAGGTTATTATATAGTCAATAATAAAGGGACGATTTGTAATAAATTACTCTGCATCGTGTTATTTTTATCAAA